GTGCAATTAAAGACTTCTGTGACAGGGGAGGTTATCCTCAACCCATGTCGCCATTGGTTGGGATAATCATCTGATCAGAATCATTCAATCAGATTTTAATGGAAAATTTCTATGTCTCAAACACCTTAATTAGTCAGTGGAAAAACCCCAGGTGTTACACCATCATTCCATATAAGGAATTATACAATGTCAAAATAAAAATGACTCGACCTAAGTAGGTCACAACTCACACATGCGCACAAGAGTACACACGTATGTATGCACTACTTTATACACACATTAACACATTTGTAGATACACTTACACATTTTATTATCACAATCGATTAAAAAATGTATTTAAAAGTATTTAACATGAATGTTATCAATACAACTTTGACGTAATATTAACTTTATTTTATAGGCGATGAAAATATAAATAACAATGGTACGAAAAAAAATGTTTTAATGACTGTAGTAAACATGTGGAAGGGGATGAATGGGAGTGAATGTAGTTTGTTTTTGGTACCCATTTCCTGTTCAATCTTCTTGCAACGATTTGTGTCAGTAATCATAATCCAGTTTGTACATGTTTGTGTACGTGTACATAAGGTGTGTGAGAATGTGTAAGCTTGCCTCAATTCAGTCCGGTTAGTGTAGGTTAATTCTGTGTACTTTTATATAGCTACTGTATCGTAGTTGTGTGTTAGTTTGTGTTAGTATTTAGAATAGCCTGCGTTTGTGTCGATATGTTGATTGTATTAAACACATTAATAATATTTTACAAATATAACGTTTTCCCATTTTAATTTCGTTTTCAAACTGCAAAACACTATTTTTTTTAATTGAATATAAAAAAAATGTCAAGGGAACGTATCAAAATATTTGACACTGAAAGATATGTTATTGGTTATGTCCCTTATGGTAATACTCCTTAAACTGTGATGACAATAAAGTGTAAATGGTTAGTTTTAGTGTTAAAAATATAAACAAAAGAACGTTTTAACAATTTTCTCTTAAAGAATCGGAACGTCAGTCCTACTTGTACAGTGTCTAACACTTAAAACATTTTCTATTCTTTAAGCAGACAGACGTTTTGGGTTTTTATCTGTTTATTGTATTAACATAAAAACAAATGCCAGGTAGAATCATTTAACGCAATAGAAATTATTTTTGCAAGATTATTCAATTTACAGGTATTTCAAATGTTGGTTACATATTTTATTTTTTGAAATTTCGCCATCGACGTTTTGGTGATACTTCTATAAACTCACGATTGTAAAACTACTTTTGCAGGATAACTTTGCGTTTTGATCTGCGTGACACACTTTGAAGTGAAGTTGTTCTCCTTTCTTCATGTCAACACCCACTGACCCAGCAGCGCTAGTCATGGATGACTTAACTGCCATAAACGTCAACCATTTGTCTCCAACCCACACACCAACTTCAATATGTTTATTTACCCATTCGTGTAGAGTGACACATACAAGATATAAACCATCATGTGGTGATACAAATGTCCCTGTTGTTTGAACAAAGTGTTGACCGTTTTTTTCTCTTACTTCACCAAATGTTTTAATTATTGAATTGGGTGTTGGCGGTGTCTTGTCTTCAAGTTGCATATAACAACCGTATCTGTTACATGCACGTGCATGTGTTGAGTAGAAATGATATATATGTTTCGTTAATTCTTTATCTACAGTGTTACATGTGCAGTAATTATTTGATCTTCATATATTTACTTACGACTTATTTCCTTTTCAAGTTTAAAACAAACAATTAAAAAAAATATTTGTATTGTTTAACTTTAAGTATTTGATATTATTTATTGGTTAGCGTTTTGTAGTGTAAAACATTTTTGTGCTATTTTTTCTTCTTCTTCGTTCTAACATTTAGTGTTGAAAGGGATCCCATCCAACACAATTATAAATACGTGTCAGCTGGTTATGCACCTTTGAGGCCATTGACTCCGATTTCTGCCTGCTTTTGCATTTGGATTAGCTTCCATAGCCTTTGTCCAACTAAGAACACACTAATAGGCAGCAGTTGTTAGATTTTGGAGTTGTCTCTCCTAGAAGAGTGGCTGTCCCCAGCTAGCGAGCCTCATCTGCCCGACAGTTCAAACTCGAGACTTTTCGGTTTAGCAACCATGAGCTTTACCGACTCATTGTTAGTATTTTATTATACGTATTTGATACTAACTTGCATATAGCATATTTAAATTGGTATTCACAAGTGTAAAGTATATTTTAGCCTATTTTAATGTTTTTCCAACACATAATCATTGACTATTTCTATTTATAAATTACTAGCTGCATATACCCGGCGATGCACGGATTTTGGGAAATACATACATTTTTTAATTAAATGCCTTTGTGTAAATATGGACGCTATAGAAAATAAATTTAACACTAACCGTAAACGTAAACACAACCACAAACCCAAACATAAACAGAATCATATTCCAATCCTAATCAATATAATTGTCCTTATCGCCATAATTATAACTATAATTATTCTTATCCTTATAACTTACTTTTTAATATATTATATTCGGAGTAAATCGTGAGTGATAGTAGAATACTTGGCCACAGGAAGTGAATGCGTGAGTGATCAATCACTGTGTTTTCCGTGCTTTTCTGGAGATCGCTTAATGTCTTGAGTGAGAGAATGTAGGCTATATAAGTTGGGGTAAGAGCGGTGTTCAATAACCATACAGCCACCTTAGACGAACGCAAGACGTAACTATGCACGAGAAGCGTTTAAAAGATATGGTAGTGTGCTCAATTGTATTTTAGATATGATTTTTTTCCCTAATATGTATACGTTTCCCGATCTAGTCCCTATCAATTTGTTTTTCTTTATCGCTATTCATATCACTTACCAATTCCTATAATTATACCCGTACCTACACCTGTAGCTGTACACGTTATTTTAAATGTGCTAATTATTACTTGTCTAATTATAGAAACAAACGGGTCCTGCTGCATTTGTTTCGGGTTATATGCGGGAGGTTATGTACTCGGGGTAATTAATTTGGGGAGGTGATGACGTGGGGGGGGGGGGGGGAATTCCCAGGAGTAGTTAACATGTTGTTAAGGTCAATCTTTCCTCGCGTTTTCGTTTCCCTGTCCATTCCGCTCTCAAACACATCACCTATACAATCTTTTAATTTAACCTAAGCTATATGCGTGAATTAATTTATAACACTTTACAAACAGTTCGTTTGACCTACTTTAAAACCTAATTCACTATAAACACCAATCCACAATACGTTAATACGCACATTTTCTTGTATAACTAACATAAAATGAAATACACCACCCGGTATAATTACCACAAATAATAATACCCCCAAAAGCATAACGGAGCTTAATGATTAATCAAGTACATTTGTAATTATTTCGAAGTTTAATAACACCTAACAAATCTCTATCTAAACTTAGATCAATACCCAAATTTATTTCTGCTTTAACAATAAAAAGTCCAACTGTGACGTATTGTAACACTAACCCAACTTATTAATTTATTTTTTTAAATATTTCTAAAAATCTATTCATAATGTTCATAATTAGTAATAAAGTAAATAATTTAAAACAATGCAGCTATAAAAATAGAGAATTAAAAAATTAAAAGTAAAACCCGATTTATGTCACAGCACCCTTTTAAATTATAATTTTTTTTAGTTTAATAATATCTTCAGCCCAGATTTTTATTTCAGTCGGGTATATAAATTAATTATAAATAGATAAATACAATATATATATATATATATATATATATATATATATATATATATATATATATATATATATATATATATATATATATATATGCCTTACTTAGGTCCTGTCTTTTTAGTTTTACATTTATTAATCAACCCAGAAAGGCCTATGGTGTAATCACCCGGTACATATCCATCACGATATGTGGTGCAATCCTTCTATAATTTCGATTCGCTAATTCGGACATCGGCGATGGCCTAACCAACAGTCTTATGACTTGAAGGTGATCTCCCGTGTTTCCAAAGTTGTTAAAAACCCTGCGGACACGTCTCTCTGAGCAGCAGCAGATCAGACCAGACCAGGCAGGCAGACTAGTTTAGTCCAGACCAGTCATTCCGAGAGCATTAAAAAAAAAAAACATTACATGTTACCTTCGTAACTCAATTTGTCGTGGCTAAAACATAAGAGAAGTTATGTCCCTTGTTTTGTAGTGAACCTGGTGTACTGTATTAATAGCGGAATGTCCCGGTAATTTCTTTCAGTTTCACGAGCAGCTCTGGTACTGTGGAAGATTTTTAGAAGCTGTTGCCTGCATATCAATCCGTTATCGTAAAATAAGGGTAAAAGCAAGTACATAACATAGCCTACATGTATCTTAAAGAACAGTAAAATTTTACCATATAAACAGATTCATTGTGTAATATATGTGCTCTGTAAATATTTCTTAAAAATTCAGTTTGTACATATTTCAGATATGTTAATAAAATAGAAATAAATTAAAATAGTTATATTAAACTTTATTCGACATATGTTTAAAACCATTAAAATAACTTACTATTTACACATACAACTACCTGTGATTTTACCTGAATTAAATATTTTAGTTGGAGGCAAGAAGTAGCTCTAGTAACCTACATCTCTTGTATTGTCGCCATATTTATTGCTGAAAGAAAGATATTTTTTATAATAGTGGGGTTTTCCGTTAAATACTTTCTTGCTTTTTTTTACTTGCTTACAATAAATTTATTTTGTAAAGAGTGAAATCTCATGCAATACGTAATCGTGCACATTATAATGTGCACGATTTATCGTACAATAACACGTTTAAAAAACACAGATAAAATGGCTATAAATAAAGTTCCTTGCTTAACAGCCATATTGTAAATGTAAATTAACTGTGATTTTTTTTAAACTATACAATTGGGCTGTGAACATTTTATTTTATAGGTTTATAATTTTCTCGTTAATCAAGTTAATTAGCCAATTCAGAGATCTGAATATTTGAATATTTTGTTAGATGCGATCCAGAATTCAAGTTGAACTTGTTGCACGGCACAAGACATATTTGGAAGAACATATACAAGTTCTGGAACAAGTCATGGAAAAAATCAAACACGTAAAGGATCATTATGTTATTTTTTATGCATAAATATACAAACGTATAACAATTTTTATACCCAAGAAATAGTTTGAGAAAAATTATAAATAAAACAATATAAAAGATTAAATATTTTTGTGTAAAAGGCTATAGAAAACAGTCAGAATTGGATAGAAGATAAAAGTGGCAACCCGTCTATCACCTACAGCGAACTTTGCCAGGAACTAGAGGCAGCTACATTTATTTTGTTGAAATCATCATCTGCAATCATAAGTAAATTTTTTAACAATTAAAATACGTGTATAGATGAGGATTTGTAATACATCTATATAATAATGCTAAGTAAGCCATATAACGATAAATTATAAATATACCATAGTTCCCACAATAAAATATAAAACATCAACACAAAATGACATAAATAATAAACAATACATATTCGATTATTGTTACGTAACAAAACATGGTGTTCATTTTAATCAACCAGATGAAAATAAAGACTACGTACATCTCGAGGAATATACGACATCATTTTCTAAGTTTACACCACAAACTACAGCAACAGAAAAACGTGACCAAAGTGAATTATCACATCAAGTCTCTCACCATCTTCAACAAACAGTTGGTATAAAATATTTTCAACTTGAGCAACTTTAAAAAAAACTAAAAAAAAAAATAAACGTATATGTCTTATTTTGTTTAAAGGTAAATTACGAATGATTTACTAAACATAATTATTACTTCGCATAACTACTTTGTTTTGTTTCATTGCTTCAGAAATACTGAGTCGACTTGAGCAGATAGAGACAGCCATATCTTCTCTACAAGACGTCAGTCGACTTGAGCAGCTAGAGACAGCCATATCTTCTCTACAAGACGTCAGTCGACTTGAGCAGATAGAGACAGCCATATCTTCTCTACAAGACGTCAGTCGACTTGAGCAGATAGAGACAGCCATATCTTCTCTACAAGACGTCAGTCGACTTGAGCAGATAGAGACAGCCATATCTTCTCTACAAGACGTCAGTCGACTTGAGCAGATAGAGACAGCCATATCTTCTCTACAAGACGTCAGTTGACTTGAGCAGATAGAGACAGCCATATCTTCTCTACAAGACGTCAGTTGACTTGAGCAGATAGAGACAGCCATATCTTCTCTACAAGACGTCAGTCGACTTGAGCAGATAGAGACAGCCATATCTTCTCTACAAGACGTCAGTCGACTTGAGCAGATAGAGACAGCCATATCTTCTCTACAAGACGTCAGTCGACTTGAGCAGATAGGGACAGCCATATCTTCTCTACAAGACGTCAGTCGACTTGAGCAGATAGAGACAGCCATATCTTCTCTACAAGACGTCAGTCGACTTGAGCAGATAGAGACAGCCATATCTTCTCTACAAGACGTCAGTCGACTTGAGCAGATAGAGACAGCCATATCTTCTCTACAAGACGTCAGTCGACTTGAGCAGATAGAGACAGCCATATCTTCTCTACAAGACGCCAATGACAAGTCTACAGATGACATATCAGAAATAAAACAATGGAGAGACAACTTTGTAACAGAACAGAGTGACATGGGGGTAAACATTGAACAACTGACTACAAAACAAAAGCAGAATTTAAAAAATGAAGGAGCTGAACGAAGTAATTGAAAGTTTAAAAGAAAAAGAATATGAAAACAACTTACACAAAGTAAAAAAAGAAATACATGATCACACAGATAAAACAAACATTCTGGTCAGATTATATGTTTAGAAAAAGATAATAATAAAATATTGTGTTACGTCCGGGTTCGATTCAACTCAACAACTATTCGTTACACATATAGTATACATTTTATTTGGCCCCAATTCTTCACATAACAGAGTATCCCACTGAGTATTTGACCTTGGGATAACAATACATCAACACACCGGGGTTAACAATACCTTAGGACTTAGGGTAAACTCAACTCAAGCACGCATTTTCCCCTAATTCTAGATTATTCTAAGCTATTTCTATCTAACCTACAACTGACCCGTAACATGTTGGTCAATACATACAAGGTAAACATTCACATTTATAATTAATTGGGTACACATTTATACACCTACTTTCAAATTTACAAGTCTATATATTATAACTAAATTGTAACATGTAATTAAAAGTCGGTTGATTAAATTTTTTTGCCAGTCATACTTTTGATTTTGAAACTACTTTTAAGGCATAAGTTAATATTAGCAATTGAAGAGCCCAGTGCTAAAAGTACGTAGGTCACATTTTTGTGAAAATCAAAGCAAGCATTGATCGTTATTCCTCTAGTTTAACTTTATCTTATAGACAAATAGTGATACTGAAGAATTTATTTATTTTTCTCTTCCAAACAAACAAATAATATAAAAACGTAATGTTTCATAGTAAATTTTAATTTTTGAACTATTTTTTTCTCAAAATGTTGTTTTTGTGACTTAAGTACTTTTAGCACTAAGGTCTTCAATTTTAATCTGCAATAGAAATAGTGAAATTTAAAATAATCCATTTAGCACAATGTAATGTACAAACTCCTGCAACAAAGATTGATGCCTATTGACAACTTCATTCAAATATTTAACCAGAACTTGGAAACTAGAGAAGAAAGAATAAAGAAGTAATATTTGTAATAAAAATATAAAAATTAAATTGCAATGCATTAATTACTAACACCTTGTTATTAGTCCAATAAATACCCTCTGATTTCGTTAATACATTTATATTTATAAAACAGCTTTAAATTCTTTTGTATTCTTACACGTTGCCATTTCCAATTATTGTCAGTACAGCTATTTATGTTAAATGTAACTATGTGATTGTTTCATTTATATAATTTATACTTTGTTTTTATTTAGATTGACAGCATTGAAAATACTATTTCAAAGTTGTCCAAAGAAGTTCATCTGATCGGTAAGTGTGCCTTGAAAAACAAAAATGATTTAACAATAAATATACTTTACCTCTGGTGAAAATGTTACATAGCTAATACTTTGACGTAGAATAATCGATGCTAACCGATCTGTACTCAGTTTATTACTTTAGCTTACATCTGTTCAATATCTCTCCACCCTTTCTATCTCTGCACCTTATTCCCGCCCCACAAATCTCTGTCATTCTCTTACACAGACAGACCATAACGTGATGTTCGTTAACCAGACAGACCATAACGTGATGTTCGTTAGCCAGACAGACCATAACGTGATGTTCGTTAGCCAGACAGACCATAATGTTATGTTCGTTAGCCAAACAGACCATAACGTGATGTTAGTTAACCAGACGATAACGTGATGTTCGTTAGCCAGACAGACCATAACGTGATGTTCGTTAGCCAGACAGACCATAACGTTATGTTCGTTAACCAGACGATAACTCGATGTTCGTTAGCCAGACAGACCATAACGTGATGTTCGTTAGCCAGACAGACCATAACGTGATGTTCGTTAGCCAGACAGACCATAACGTGATGTTCGTTAGCCAGACAGACCATAACGTGATGTTCGTTAGCCAGACAGTGATTTATAACGTGAACACATACGTTCTTTATGATTATAACATAACACAAATAACTATTGATGTACTTTTAGTGACGTATTACGTCACCTACTACACTCGTAGTTTTAATACGTATGACACGATAAACTATCACCACTAACGCTGAGGACCGTACTAAACTAGTGGTCTAGTGTTGCAATTAGTGGTCTTACACTAAATTATGTAAACATTATGGATTATTATACACAAATCATTTTTTTTCAAAAACAATTGTTTTATGTTGTTTAGCCATTTTACTAACATTCTGAACTGCATACAAAACACATATAATGAGATTATATTTAGTGTTAATTACATAAAGTAATGAAATAACAATTCACTAATATTATGAATCAAATAGTCAGAGCATGTGTGGAATTAAACATGTGCATCATAAATGTTTTCTAATCAACAGAGTCACGTGTATGTAACCGATATGCTTGTAATGTACAGTTTGCTAATCTCACACCTGTCAGTGCTGGATCAATTATTTCAACATTTGATGAAGTACGTGAATATAACGGTCAACATTTTAATCAAACAACAGGAACATTTGTATCACCACATGATGGTTTATATCTTGTCTGTGTCACTCTACATGAATGGGAAGATAAACATATAAGAGTTGATGTGATGGCTGGAGACGAGTGGTGTAGGACTATAGAAGTGAAACGTGCCAACACTAGCGCTGCTGGGTCAGTGGTTGTTGACATGAAGAAAGGTCAAGAAATTTACCTTGAAGTGTTTCATGCAGATCAAGGCGCAGCTTTATCCTGGCTAAGTAGTTTTACGATTATTAGCTTTTAAAAGTAAAACACAAAACATGGTGGATAATAAATTTTTAAAAGAATAAAATATGTAACCACCATGTTAAACACACGCTAACAACTTACTATGTATGGAGACTGCATGTCTTCAAACACTTGAATGGTTTACATGAAATATGTTTAGTTATCATTTTGTTTCAATTAATTTAATATGCTCACTAATTATGTTTTCTACTTGACCAACGTTATAGAATATAAGTATGTACCATTGCCTTCACTGTATAGGAGCACAACCGTATTTTGAATACGTTTGGTTTGTAAAAAAAAAACGTATTTATCTTGTTAACAGAACCCTTGAGACAAACCAAAGAACTTCCACAAAGACGAATGTTAAAATATGTTCACTGTACATCATCAATATGTGCCTTATGTACCAAAAGTAGGCTATTAATCCAAGTTAGTCATTTGTAAAATAAAAATTACAATTATTTTTATTTTACTACAAGTCTCTGTAATTGTGAACACTACATTCGTTCAATAAATAAATTACTGCATATCCGTGTTAAAAACATGTTTTCCTTTATTTAGTAACACTGTATCTTTAAATTAACAAAGATCAACACAAACAAAAATCGTTACATCTATTAAACTAAATAATTATTTATATAATTACTTATATAAACATGTGTATGTGTAATAAAATGTGTAACACATAATTGCTACAAGAAACATCGAACGTGAAATTAGAAGCACATGATCCATTATCTTTATATAAATTTAGTTGAATACATTCTAACCTTAGAAAATCGTTATTTTTATTTGACACATATTAGACTTACAAAATCATTTACTGTTGAAATACATCATATATGTGATGTATATTTGAGTCATTTATATATTTTGATATATGAGAGATTTTAGTGTTGAGTGCTGTACCAGTAGACTGCTTATAACTTCTGTAACAGATTAGTGTTGAGGAGTAGAATAAAACAGGTTCGAACTCCTGACTTTTGTGTTAGCATTAAATTCACAACGGTCAAGTTTTCTGTCGCTATAGTTTGTGATATAGACTGAGATAAAGATGGCGTTTCTTCATCGACATCTATTGGCTCATTATTTTCATCTGTTTTATATGAATACAGAGCGAAGAGTTTTATAACTGCAGTTTTTTTCATTGAATTGATTGTTTGTATACATCATGTTCCAATTGTGTCGATTTCTGACGGCAACCCTAAACCTAACCTTAACATGTAGGTATAAGCTAAACATATTTGACTGCGTATGTAAGTTGATTACATTACCTTCAATAACTTTTTCATGGGAAAAAAAAGAATTATGCCATTACTCAAGAAATAGGCCTACACATAAAATAATCTTAATCTTTTAAATCTTTTGTATTTAAGGTTGAAATGTAAACTCATATTTTATTTTATGACAATGAATAAATCATGATTATCATCATGATCGTCATCATCATCAACATCGTGAACTAGCGATTATCAGCGTAAATGAACTCGGAATACAAGTTTGGTAAGGTGTTATGCTCCGACACCTTTGTTTCCCTAATCTGAAATAGGTACCCGTCAGAGATTTATGAATTTAGAACGTCACAAACACTAGAGCCCAAAATCCGAACTCGATAATTTACGTGGTTAAAGTCGAACGCTCTAACATACGACAATGATGATCGCTTAAAAGGACAAGCGCCGAGATTCGAACTCCTGACTTTTTTGATAGCAGTCGTTAGCTCTAAAAATAAATTAAAATGTTTACTCATAACTTTAGAACATGCACCCAGCATTGCCATGGTCGCTGATTCAAGTTCCTGGCATAGCTCGACGTAGGTGATAGACGGGTTGTCATTTTTATCTTCTATCCACGTCTTACTTTTTGCCACTGTCTGGTAATGTTAAAAGTGCATAAGTGAAATAAACTGAGTAACTTAGTAAATGATTGTATAATATAGAATTTGTAAATAAAATATTTAAAAAACTGACACATAACTGCTGACTACTTACTTTTTTCATAATTTCAAATGCAGGTTCCATAACTCGTATCTGTTCCTCCAAATATTTGACCTACGTTAATTTGACCTCAGTACTTTTAGTTGTCAGATTGAAGGCTGTAAATATTTTCTGTTAGGTTCGTCTAGCGGCTAGACTCTAGCTTGTATGTGACACTGAAACAGCTTAACGGGAAATCCCGAAATTAACTGCTGTTTAGGTAACAAAGTTGTCAAGACGACAAAGTTTCACACACCTAGATTTGTTATTTAAAGTTTTTAGTTGGCATTACTTTGATATTGATATAGAATTGAAATTGTAAGTATCATTTAATGTGTTGTGTGTAAGGAACAGTATTACCTAATTATTTTTACTTTAAAAGTCTTTACAGATATGTTATTTTAAATAGGTCACTAGGCCAACCGCACACGACATGTCTTACACACAACTACACACATGTATTATCGCTAGCGTACAACACAAAAAACATAAACTTGGGGTGTCACTAACACAGCAGGACGTTTTATTTCGAACTTAAAATAAATGTTTTATCAGTTATTGTTGATTTATAAATAAATGAACGCACGATATTTTAATGTGTTCTTTTTTGAAAATGTAAATCAAAGTTCATATAAAGTCAACCACAGTACAAACAGGTCATTTGAACCAGAGACGTAGCGACCCCTTCCGGCGCCCGGTGCGAACTTTCAATTTGGCGCCCCCATATATATATATATATATATATATATATATATATATATATATATATATATATATATATATATATATATATATATATATATATATATATATATATATATATATGCGTGTATGTTTTGTGTGTGCGACAGTCTGGAAAAAAATTAACAATTACGCTGATTGTCGTTCCCTAAAACTTCACTGGACGCCAATGAAGTTCCCCTTTAAGATGCCGAAACGAATAAAAAATAGAAAATCAAAAGAGCTTAGAACCGTGGGCTCCATCGAACCCGAGAGGTTTGGTAATTCAGTCTCAGGGTTTCCGCGGATGTCAAGACCAGAGTTTCTTCCAGGCATCATTCGGGGGGGGGGGGGGGGGGGCGGGCAAGCCCCCGAAAAAATTCTACAGCCCCCCCCCCCCCCCCCGAACGAAATGAAATTTATGTAATTTATATAGAAAATATATACCTTTAACAGTGTCCGCCCCCCCCCCCGGAAGAAAGTCTACCGCCCCCCGAAAATTTAAAGTGCCCCCCCCCCCCCCCGGAGAAAAAAGTCTGGAAGAAACACTGGTCAAGACACACACCCGACTCATAGGATTCACGATCGGATTTAGTCATTGTGGACGATACAACTATTAAGGAGGATTCGGTGATTGCGCATATGAAACTGGTTGGGTTCGGTACTCCAAAAAGTTAAGAACCACTGCTTTAGAGTTATTTTGTAGAAGGTGCAAGCCTTATTTGGTCTACTTTTGGTCATGTCTTTAGAACAATTTCAACAATAGTAGGCCAATATTGCAATTTAGAATTATCAGTTAGGTTGAACAAAGTAATAATCAGTACAATATACTAATTTTCTTCTATCTTAAAATTTTGGCAAAGAGTATCGCTTCCCATCCACCCGCTCCGACAGTCTGCTAACTCTTTTTTATGTTCCACAATCGTAAAATACGCTTTAGATCAATGGGTTTCTTTTCTGGGTTATATCGGTTTATTCCTTAATCCGGTGTGAATTTTTCAGATTTCAATCTTCGAAAAAGCGCCCCCCCCCCCATCTAGTAAAGCTCGAAAGCGGTTTTTCCGATCACTGTTTCTTAAAGATATACGTTTCACAGTTACACAAACAAGGTAGAAAACAGTTAAATCAGTATGCAAAGGCTCCCAGCCGTTAAATTTCTTTACTTTGACTGTTTATAATTCAAAATTGTAGCTTAAAATGAGCTTTTAATTTTTTTTCTACTCCTTTTGGCGCCCCCTAGGGTCGGCGCCCGGGGCGGCCGCCCTCCCCGCCCTCCTCTAGCTACGCCTCTGATTTCAACCCCAAATCAAAACAAAAATGATAGCTGACATAATGTTTAAATGCTAGACCTTACAAACAAGAGGTCAAACAAAACACACGTTACACTCACGACATAATACACAAACGACGGATAACAGAAATGAGAAGTCAGTAACTTACAACCTACTCATTAACCAGTCAAACAACAGAATATGTTACAGTCAAACAACATACTATTTTAGAGTAAAACAAATTAAAGTTTGACAATCAAGCAGCAGAATATGCTACAGTCAAACAACAAAATATGTTATAGCTAAACAACTGAAAATGTTACAACCTCACGTTCCAACAGGGGCGTAGCGAGGGGGGGGGGGGGCGGGGGGTGCGGACCGCACCGGGTGACACCATTTAGGGGGGTGACACCAAGGCAAAAAATAGCAAAATATATAGAGAAAAACTCGAGGGGGGGGGTGCAAATCGAAAGTTTGAGGGAGGGTGCAAATCGAAAACTTGAGGGGGGGGGGGTGCAAATCGAAAGTTTGAGGGGGGGGGGGGTGCAAATCCAAAATTTGAAAGTTTGTCCCTGGGAAGGGTCTCTATGCCTATGGGGGGGGGTGACACCATTAAGTGCCGCACCGGGTGACACCCGACCTCGCTACGCCACTGCGTTCCAATGTTACATAAATAATCTCCATCGGATGTTAACATTAATTTCATGATAATTTATCACGTGTGTGTGTTACTGTAATGTGCTGGAGATTGGTGGATATGAAACGTTCTAGTATATATGCACACTAATTTATTATATATTAAAACATTATTTTTAAAAAGTGACAGTTATATTATTATATAGATGCCTTCAAGAATTCAGGTCAAGCTTGTTACAAAGCACAAGAAATATTTGGAACAACAACTACAATTACTGGAACCTGTTATAGGAGAATTGAAAAATGTAAGTTTCTACCAACTTACAATAATCTTTACATTTTCGTTTTCAAACAAACGTTCATACATTCAGCAAGATGTAGTGTTAAAAGTTTAATTGATGTTGTGCATTTCTAACAACAACAAAAACTTAAAATCTGAATGGTAGAAACATAAATTATATAACCTTTCATGACAGGTTGTAGCAAAAAGTAAGGCGTGGCTAGAAGAAAAAACTGACCAATCATCTGTCAGCTACATCGAGCTATCACAAGAACTGGACACAGCAGCCACGGCCTTGTTGGATGTGACGTCACATATTTTAAGTCAGTACTCTAATAGTTTTTATAATTTAAAATGTCTAAGCCTACTGTCAAGTGTCATGTGTGTTCAGTAATGAAGTGTTTCTACTGAGAAGAATGCAACGAAATTGTTTTACCGTTTAGTTTACAGGCATTACAAATACTAAGTTAAGTCTAACAAACCACTTTCCTTTTTGCTATGAAATCGACGTCACATTAGTGAATATTGTAAATCATTATTTGAACAAAAAAAAAGATTTTTACAATCACATCGTGTAACCTTATTCGCCCTAAAACAACGTTGAAGAGTCTTATTAAATGTCTATAGAACATAAAGGTTTTTTTTTAAAAATTACTTTTCATTATAAAATCGATAATTATTCTTGTAAAAGTTAAATTTAAAACAATATATAGATTTCGGTTATTTTGGAATTATTTGTATTTGTATACATTTGGATCATATTCAAAGTTCTTTTTCATCAGAGTATTACATGGTTGCGTTATACATTAACTAGCGACATTTATTGTGTGTACTATAAAATCGCTGTTCACTTCAACTGCAATTAAAATAAAATTCTAAACCCCAATCCACCAGACGAGGACAACATGGATGTCAACAAACCAACGCCATCTTTACCACAGCCTGACACACAGACAACAGCAACATTTCTAACAGGAGAATCACCAAGACAACTCAAGACACAAGTTCAACATACAGCGGGTATGTCTTAGTTTTGCTTGGTATAACTAGTTAAGTAGCTGCATTGTAAGCCGTATACAATGTTAAAGCTTGTACGATTCGATACTGTTTAATTTAAAAAAAAAGAAAATTACTTTAATTTTCTTGTGTTTTCTTTTTTAAAGAACCTATTTTTCAATATTTAATTCGTTTAAAATCATAAACTGTATATGTGCGACTATTTTCAGTTGAAGAACATCCTGACCTAGAGCGTAGACTCGCCTATATTGAAACAACACTATCTTCACTACAGGACACACAACACAAGTCTACAGATGACATATCAGAAATAAAACAATGGAGAGACAACTTTGTAACAGAACAGGGTGACATGGGGGTAAACATTGAACAACTGACTAAAAAACAAATGCAGAATTTTAAAAACCTTAGAAAACAAATGAGTGAACAAGATAACAAAGAAAAGGAGCTGAACAAAGAAATTGAAAGTTTAAAAGAAAAAGAATCCAAGTCAAACAAAACACTAGAGAAACTGTCTCAAGATATGAAAGAATATGAAAACAAAGTGCGCAAAATAAACAAAGAGATGCAAGATATAAGAGACGGTATGAAACAAGAAAATAAAAGCCATTCTTATTTAATTGTTTCTTTACAAGATGAAAATAATAAAATCCTGGACAAAACTTCAACCCAATTTGAAAAGTTACAATCAAAGGTAAATTTTAAAATTGCTGTATTTTTTGTACACAGTTCTATTCTTACTTGCAATTCAATTTACTTCAAATTGTTAAAAGGGGCAGTTGACTAATTTAACCTATAATCATAACTTTTATATAAATGCTAATTGTATGTGAGTTTTAATATACAATAAAAATAGTTAAATATATAAATCTTTAATTATGATCGTCTTTAGCACAGTGTAATGTACAAACTCCTACAACAAAGGTTGATGCCCATTGACAAACTGATTCAAATCTTTAACAAGAACTTTGAAACTAGGGAAGAAAAATTAGATAAGGTATGTTTGTAATACTGTATAAAAATCATTTGCAACATTGATAAATCCTAAATTACTCCAGTAATGACCATAATTTTTGGGAAATCACTAATAAATAGTTTATTAATTAAATAAGAATATACAAAAAATCATTTCCTTTTCTTAAAAGTTACCATTATCTATTGAAGCTAGTGAGTCAGTAGATATGTGATTGTTTCATTTATTCCCTTACACTTTATTTTAATTTAGCTGGGTGAACTTGAAAATACTATTTCAAAGTTGTCTAACGATTTTCATCTCATAGGTAAGTTTGCTTTGTAAAAAAAAGTTTTTAAAACTTATTTATATAACAATAGTGATTTTATGACAAGTTTATCTATTGATTTCCTCGTTTAAATGTAGGAATAGTAAAAGATATCAAATAATTCTCAATGATAACCAATACGTTTGTTTACCGCCCACTCTCACGCTCTCTCTAAATCTCTTACTCTCTGCATTTCTATTACACGGACGTACAGCGGTCTACCCTAGTACAGTAAGACATATACAGAGCTGCAGTTTAAAATTAACTAATTTCAATTAACGTTACGTCATCCCCTTATGTTTCTTATATTAAGAAGTTTTTACATACGAGCCAGATCTGAAATATAAAAAAGTAATAACCTGAAAACATTGATAATTATACATTTTTAACATCTTAGTATCTAATTAATTTGCTGTAAACTGAAATGAACATTACAAAATGCTGACTGTGCAGATCTTGTGATCGGTCATTATTAAGTAGGTCTACAACATAATAACTTTTGTTCGTGTATTTTTGTTTCGATAGATAAGCCATATACAATTAAACTATAATGTGAACACATACGGACTGCATGATTATAATGGGAGTCGGACGATTTCCCGAAAGGCACTTGCCCGAATGCGACAATGCCCAAAAGCCATTTGCCCGAAAGCCGTTCGCCCGAAAAATGGGAACATTATTGATTACCAAAAGTCATTTTTAATCAATTTAAATTTGAAATGTTTATAATTAAATAAACGTCTAACCAAATTGAAAGGGAACAAAATACTATTTAATATCTGCAAGCAGGCATTATGAATTAATTAGTATTTGCTATATTATAGAAAGTGTAGGGCCTACATCTTTTGCTATCTATAAAACAAGACGAAAATATAATTTTCGCTTATCTGAGGTTTTTAAAATGATTCTCATTTTGTGTATTATAAACAAATTAGTTTTTTATGCCCAGAATTGTGTTATCAAAATGTCAAACTTGAATTGATTAAGAATGTCTATTTGATATTAACAAATGCCCATTCGGATATTTGTCGCATTCGGGAAAGTGTCCGTTCGGGAAATCGGCCTTGGGGCAAACGGCATTTGGGCAAGTGTATTTCAGGAATTTGTCGTAGACCCCGTTTTAGCATATCGTATATAACATGTGTTGTACGTTTTGTGAGGTTTTAATTGACCAACTAAACTGGTAGTGTCAATACGTAGGAAACGATAACCTAACACCACACAAACTAAGGACCGTACTAATTTAGTGGTGTAGTGTTTCAATTTATGGTCTTTCACAAAGTTATGTAAACATTATAGATTATTATACATAGTTTTTTTTTTGAAAAATAATTGTTTGATTTGGGTTTGTCAATTTTACTTACATTATAAACTGCATACAAAACACATATAATGAGATGATAAGATAAGCTAAAGAAACGACAATTTACAAATATTATGGATCAAATAGTCAGAGCATTCGTAAAATTGAACATGTACATCAAACGCATGTTTTCTAATCAACAGAGTCACGTGTATGTAACAGATATGCTTGTCATGCACAGCTTGCTGGTCCCACACCTGTCTGTACTGAATCAATTATTTCAACATTTAGTGAAGTACATGAATATAACGGTCAACATTTTGATCAAACTACAGGAAAATTTGTATCACCACATGATGGTTTATATCTTGTCTGTGTCACTCTACATGAATGGGGAGATAAACAGATTGAAGTTGATGTTGTGTCTGGAGGCGTGTGGTGGAAGTTTATAGAAGTGAAATGTGCCAACACTAGCGCTGCTGGGTCAGTGGTTGTTGACATGAAGAAAGGTCAAGAACTTTACTTTTTTGCGTATCACGCAGATCAAAGCGCAGCGTTATCCTGCTACAGTAGTTTTACTATCGTTAGTTTATAGAAGTACCCAACAGAACATGCTGGATGGTAAATTCTCAAACAATAAAATATGTAACCACCATGTAATACACACGCTAACCACTTTCTATGTGTGTAGACTACATGTCTACATAAACTTAAGTGGTTTATATGTTATTTGTTTAGTCATCATTTGGGAGTTCTAGCTTATTCAATGTGCTCACCAATAATGTGTCATACTTGACGCCACTAAACTCATATCTCTAATAGACTATAAGACAGCTTTATTTAAATATCTTTTATCAGTATGTGAGCACTAGGTGTATGGTCTAATCATAATTTTCATGTTAATTGTTAAAAAAACGTATACCTGGAGCTACATGATTATGAAGTATTTAAAAAAAAGATTGTTAGAATGAGTTCACTTAACAAACATTAACTTTTTTATTGTGTATTAAAAACATTAATTTGTTATAAATTTTAAAGAATTTTTTTATTATTATACTGCAAAGAACTGTTGTCGTTTTGATCACTACTGCCTTTAATTTGAAAAAAAAAATTGTTTCCGAGTTAGATTTTTTTTTTTTTATTCAGGAACATTGTGTCTGTAAATTAACATACATTAACACATATAATAATTAAAACATATATTTAGCTATCAAGTCTATATATATATATATATATATATATATATATATGTGTGTGTGTGTGTATGTGTATATCCATGTATATGTATTTGTATGTATATGTATGTTAGCACAGAGCCTTACATCGAAAAATCAAATAGCTCACATGTAGTGAAAATCAAATCTACAGCCAAATGTTTACAATCATTGATGTTTTTCCGATCTGTCTACTTAAGTTGAGACTTTCAAAAAATATAAATCATGTTTGTCTGTTTTATTTGATATTTTCATTTTAATTTAAAATTAATACTATACCAAACACAAACAAATTAAACGACGCTATGTCTAATGGATCTATGACGTCACACCCCTACGTCATTATCCCGTTTTCAAGTAATGGATCTCATTATTGCTTTCACTGAAGTCGAGAGTTCGGTCCCTTTCGTAAATTAGGCTCGATAACCAGGGACAAATACTAATCTAGGTGAATAACTCCTAAATGAAACAAGTGCTGCCCTGTACTTTGTTCTTTATATGAACAAATGCTATGGAATCAAAGCCAGAAATAAAAGCAGGATGTACACAGTTTTAGCGTGCAATATAGCGCATAGCATTTGACCCACGGCGATGTATTAGTTATATGAAAATATCCAGGTTAAATCTGCCCAGACTAACACTGCTCATTAACTAAAAAATTAAAAGGAAATGTGAAATGATCTTACTACACATTGACTAACACAACGTTCTTGTTACAATCGTTGAGCTTGTGTTGTATTGCTTAAACAATAAAATATCACAATTATTTCCATTTGTTTTATATCTTTGACAACGTCTAGAACCAGCGCTGTCTGCCCACACGTGTGTGTGAGCTAACCAAATCTTGTGTGTGTGTGTGAGCTAACCAAATCTTGTGTGTGTGTGTGAGCTAAACCAAATCTTGTGTGTGTGTGTGAGCTAACCAAATCTTGTGTGTGTGAGCTAAACCAAGTCTTGTGTGTGTGAGCTAAACCAAATCTTGTGTGTGAGTTAAACCAAATCTTGTGTGTGTGAGCTAAACCAAATCTTGTGTGTTAGAGCTAAACCAAATCTTGTGTGTGTGAGCTAAACCAAATCTTGTGTGTGTGTGTGCTAAACCAAGTCTTGTGTGTGTGAGCTAAACCAAATCTTGTGTGTGAGTTAAACCAAATCTTGTGTGTGTGAGCTAAACCAAATCTTGTGTGTGTGAGCTAAACCAAATCTTGTGTGTGAGAGCTAAACCAAATCTTGTGTGTGTGTGTGAGCTAAACCAAATTTTGTGTATGAGAGCTAAACCAAATCTTGTGTGTGTGTGTGAGCTAAACCAAATCTTAAGCGTATGAGCTAAACCAAATCTTGTGTGTGTGAGCTAAACCAAATATTGTGTGTGTGACCTAAACCAAATCTTGTGGGTGTGTGAGCTAAACCAAATATTGTGTGTGTGTGTGAGCTAAACAAAAAAATTGTAAGGAAACCTTCAAGGGAACTTATCAAGATATGTATACATTGAAATATATTTTATTGTTATGTCCCTTAGTGCAATTATCATTTAAATATGATCTCACAAAGTGTAAAATGTATGTTTCAGTGAATAAAATATATAAACAAAAGAACATGACAGCAACTTTCTCTTAAAGATTTTAATCCTGTTGGTGCAGTCTCTAACACTTAACACATTATTTTTAAGGGAAATTAAGTGTTTATTGTATTGATATTAATACAAATAATAACAGGTCAAAGTGAACGTCTTGTTTTTGACTTGGTGATTATATGTTTTGTTGTTTTGTGAGTTCACCATACAGCATGTTTTGTGTTGTACTTCTATAAACTAACGATAGTAAAACTACTGCAGCGGGATAAAATTGCGTCTTGGTCTGAGAAACATTCTTGATGTTACTTCATGTCAACAACCATTGACCCAGCATCGCTAGTTTAGGTGCACTTAACTTATATAGACGTTCAATACCTATCTCAATACCACAGACCAACTCCAATGAATTTATCTGTGCTT